TTAGTGGCGAGCAGGGAGCCCCCCAGGCCCCCCTGCTCGGCGGTCCATGATTCAGCAAATTAAATATTGACAAAATGTCTTTATTATCTTTCAAGACCAGTATAGTTGTCACATGCTAGCTTAAAATATTTCTTAAAATAAAATAAAATACATAGAGGATATAACATGGGCATGCGGAGATACGGATTTTATCTTCGCTACGCTCACTCGTGAGAGAGAACATGACACGAGAAGATAAAAGTGGTATCTCCAAGCGACCATGTAATATTCTGTTTATCATATAATTGTGTACATATGAAAGCAAATTATGTCATAAAATACCTTTTTTCTTGCTTTTACTACATAGAGAAACCTTGAATGTGTTATTTTCACTAGTGACAATATCAATTTTACAAAATAAAGAAATATAGGTATTTCATAGATAATTATATGATAAAAGGAGATATATAATGCAATAATATGTCTGCCCTTCATATAAGCACAGTTGGGATTCAGTCACTGTAAAGTCAAGAGAGGCCAGCTTATAAAGAGCAATAAGCTTTTTATAAGCATCAGTGCTTTCTACTTCCCACAGTGTTTATATCTGAGGACAAAGACACCAGTGGCCATTTTATAAATCTTATAAGTATAAATTAAAATGCGAATGCAGCCTACTACTGGAAAAGAAGCCAGAAAAAGGACATACATATATATTATTTATCTATCTGACTTGAGCCAGGTCTACGTCCTCTTTACATTAAGGGCTAACCCAGATACGACTGCTCGCATGTGGCTTTGATAGCTCAGTTGGTAAAGCATTGCACCGGTATCGCAAAGGTTGTGGGTTCAAATCCCATTCAAGTCAGATTTTTTCTGGCTTCTTTTCCAGTAGTAGGCTGCATTCGCATTTCAATTTATTCTCTACTAAATAACTACTGAATGACATACATATATATTTATCTTATAAGTATGTCTGGCCTTTTACAATTAGAGTAGATTGAACAAATGGTCTATTGGATAACTGCCTATCCAGTTACATGTAGTACATGTATCCATTACCAAATCTATGAAACTGTGATATAGCTTTAGCTACTGGACAAATTTATCAACCCAGCATAGATCCAGAACTCCAGCAAGCTGTGTCTCTAGACTCTGATAAAAAAACATTGCCCTCGGCTAAATAGAGTATGTGCTGCTTGATCTTGAATTTAAACAATGCTTATATCTACAAATATATACAGCCGTTTGCAATAATTCTGACCCCCCTACACTAATATTCATATATATCAAAATAGCCTTAGAAATTATGGGATACCATTGCTGATATTTTTTTTAGAAAGTACTCATTCTGGACAACTCAAAAAATATATAAATCATGATATCCCATAATATTTAAGGTCAGTTTGATATATATGAAATATGGCAGAGGGGGTCAGAATTATTGCAAACAGCTGTACATGTGCATTATATCAAAAATGGTCAGAAATGGTCAGTTCAATTTCAAATATTTTCTGACACATTTTCCTTGCACCAAAGAAGAAAACAACCAAAGTCTATTTGTGCTTGTTTAGTAAATTATGMTAATCTTAGCATATTGCTTTTGGGTTAGTAAAAAAGAAATACAATATTACCCCTATTTTTCCAAAAATGTTGTTTTCCATTCATTAACATAGAAAAACTACACTGTGCATGTATTTTTTTACATTTTTCAAAAGGTTCTAGAAAGTGAAATGTTGCTATATTTCAGAAATAAAAATTGTTGCATTTTTTGAGCATGCAAGCATACAATGCATCAACACATATTCTCTTACATAAAGTACATGATCATCAATATCAGAGCATGTATTATACATGTATTTCAAAAATGTTATAAGAAAAAAATATAGTACACAATTATAGGATATATAAACTATAAATGTCTGCATAATAATACCAAGGAACATCTGCAAAATATAGTAAAACTTACTGGATGATGTCTGAAAAATCAGTACAAAAAATATTTTAAGAGTAAAACTTGTCAGAAACATTGGCACAGCTTACACTTTGCTAGAGGATCTCATTAGTTTGTGAAGGGTTTTTTTAATTAACTGTTGTTAAACATTTTATGATGGATATATTTGGATGGAAGSCACTTGCTTTGTGTTCTATTGTGCATTGTCTCTCATATTTACTACCGACCAATCTTAAAAATGACAGGGAAATTTGAACATCTACTGTATGAGCTAGATAGAGTGGATTTCATATGACTGTGCAAAGACAGTTCACAACATGGACATGGCTTCTCACGGTCATGGAACCTAGCCTGGTAGTGATCCAAATGAAAATAAGAAAACAAGAATACATCACCGTCACAGCACGCTACAGACACAGCACAAAAGTGTTGTGTTTTTTTTTGCACAGTCATATGAAATTAGCTCTACTAGTCATTATCTAGAACAACATTATGTCAAGTCACTGCTATTTTTTGAATTAGTCAGACCCTATAAACATGTAGAAAAATTAGGGGGGAGGGGGAGAAAAAACTGTCAATAATAATTCATTCAAACTCCCCTCCCCTTCCCCATACAATGGTTTCTAAATACAATCAAACCACATTTAAAGTTTTATGAGAATCTCTCACAGCTTCTGCATAAGTAGGAGGGGGAGGTAATTCTGCAGTCCCATCAAGCCTTTCCAGTGAATGGTAAGGAGGAGGTCCACCAGGGAGTATAGGGGGACTTTCAGGTTCTCCAGTTGTTTCTGGYATAACATCAGAACCAGTACCTCTAGTGCTCAATTGCAAGTGTTGTTGCTGTTGTTGTTGCTGTTGTGGTTGGCGTGTTTGTCGTCCAGCTGTCCTTGCACATCCACAGTACACTACGCATGCAATACAACTTCCGACGATAACAACAACCATAAACCCAACAATTGATGCAGTAGAGAATGATGATGACTCCTTTTCACATTTTCCACCTATACATTCTTCRTTATGCCCACAGTTACACTTAGAAACACATAGGCTATCTTTGCAGTCTTGGTTCGATGAACAATCATGCATTGAATCACAATAATTSRAGGGAAGAGTTTTAGTACATTTTTTACCAATGCAGTATTCCTCCGGKGTACAATCATCTTTTGACTGGCAGAAGTTATGACAATACTTACGAAGACTGCATATTTTATCACAACAAGCCTTGTAACCTTGCCACACACAGTCGTGTGTATAAGTACAAGATTTCATGCATTTTTTGTTTACACAAGTTTCTTTCTGTGCACAGTCCTTGGTGWATAGGCAATAGTTATCACAGTATTTGCGCATAATACACTTTCTATTGCAGCATTTTCTATAGACTCCTGTACAACCCTTGTCATTGGAGCAACTTTCGCCTTCGACTGACTGCACATTCCAGTTCGACGTCATGACGATCGTCACGAAAATAATACTAAAGCGATAATACATGGCCTTACTCATTACTGGCGAACGTAACAGCTCTTTTAGCCTTGCTGGCGAGAGAAAACGTTCTCTTTTAAAGCCACAACAGCAGTCAAAATGAGCAATAGATTCACAAAAGCGACAATGAAGAAACACAACACAGTTCCGTGATATCGTAACCAGATCGAGGCTATCACACAGGAAGCCCAGACAAGTTTCATTTCCTGAGTTAATATTTGATAGATTTTGCGTTTTTTAATATTTTTTTTGAAAGTAATATATAAAATATGAGCGGGAGACCTTGATAGACATTTAAAGTCCATTTTATAGTCCATAAAGGTCGGATGAGAATATTTTATATTGCTTATCAAATTCCAATTGGTATTAGGAGTAAATAATAATAGCATATTTTGAAAACTTCAGCATAAAATATCATTTGTAAGAGAGAATCGAAGTTAAAGTCGTATACAAATCAGGACAAATCTCTTGCTCATATAGAGATGCAGTAACGGCAATGATTTTCCATTGTGTTTACCTTATGATTATTAATGAATTTGATAAAATTGAGATTAAAATCTCATGTTATTGTTCTAGGAGGCAAAAAGGGACTTTGCGAAGGTCCATATTGGGGTCATTACTTGAACCAATATCTTAGTGATCAGTAATTATACTCCAGTTGGAATTCAAAACAAATAAATCAAAATGGTATTACATATTTAATTTTAATTTAGCTTGATCTAGCTAGATAAATTATTAAAAATAAAATATTTGAATTTAGGATTAAATACATGGTATGCAGAGATACAGATTTTATCTTTGCATGTTCAAATGATATCTCATCATAAATGTTGAGAAATTTGTACCTCATTTTCTCTTGATTTGAATACATGTAAGAAAAAAATATGTATCACCAAGGGATCATATGTCATATTTCATTACACGAAGAGTCACAGATCTCAGCTCTTAATTTATACATGGGCTTTCTCCTGCTGCACAAGATAACCTATTTGAAGATTGAATCTTTGGTTGTTGTTCTATTATGTTCACAAGTTGTTTATTGGTTTATTTTGACATCCTCATGGAAACACAGTTGTCAAAGGTATCAATATTCTCCGGGTGTTCCTTGATGCCAATTTAAAGTAGACTACACACCAAAATTTAAGACATGGTTTTACACAGGAAGCCCATGTAATAACATTATTTTTGTTTGTGTAGATATCACTTCTTTGCTTGACGATATTTACTGAAGTTTAATCAATATACAAGACATTATTGTCATGTGATAAATTTAGTAGTTTCCAATGATTATTTACATGTGATTAATATATCTTATTTATAGCTAATTGAAATAATAAATTAATATGGAATATATTACTTGAAAATCACATGAGTTGTAATTACTCCATGACACTAATACCAACCAGACATTTAAATAATAYTGATTAACAATAGAAAATGACTTAAGGGATAAGAATATCTTGAGCACCTATTTTGTATAATACATATATATTAATGTTTGTGGTAATAAGCTGTGCACATCTTTTTTGTGTGTAAAAATTGTTCTACCTCAGTGCCAATACAAACTTTATGTTACTGCCAACTTTGGCTTCACCAAGGCTATCAAATATTTYAAGTTGAGTTCAATATTGGTATTCTATTCTCTAATCATCTCCAAACAATAAATTATGTACATTCAAATACACCCGTTTGAAAAACATTATACATGTACATGTAGGTTCAAACAGGCTATGTTTAAAAAACATTATAGGTTCAAACAGACTATGTTTGAAAAACATTTTAGGTTCAAACAGGCTACATTATCAGAGACCAAAAGTGAACATGGTATGGCAGATATTATGAGTCAGAATATAAACAGTGTTTAATTGTGGCAGAAGATTGCCTCTGCAGTAAAAGAAACATATATCCCAATTATGCCAAATATGGTTCAAATATTATGGGTACTTGAAATCCTGATTGCTGCCTTCAATGACTTCCCTTCTTATGATCTGACAATGTTTTTTCAATTAGGTCTGTAAGAGGACTCTCTCATGTACAGTTACCTCACTTATAATTCTGTCAATCATGAAGCAGAGCCTAATCAATGCTTGCTGTTCAAAGTACCTGAAGTTTTTTTTTCCTTTTAAGGCTTTAATATATGTGCTGTGTGGCCACTGGTACAAGTYCATTGCACACCATTCATATAATATTCGACTATAATTGTAATCACGCTGCACTCAAATTTTTATGTGAATTCCTTACAGCTTCTTCATAAGAAGGAGGAGGAGGCTCTTCTGTAACATCAAGCCGTTCTAGTGAATGATAAGGRGGAGGTCCACCAGGAAGTATAGGAGGACTTGCTGGTGTCTCCACTGCCTCAGCATCAGGTACTACATTTAAAGAAACATCCTGTCTACTAGCTGGTAGTTGTAATTGTGCTCGAGGCTGTCTGCCAATCCTTCTTGCACATCCRCAATATATACCGCAGGCTATACAGCTACCGATAACTACTACAGCGGCTAAACCAGCAATAGATGCAGGAGAGAAGGACATGGAATCCTTGGTCTGACATTTTCCATCTGTACCACACTTTTCCCCCTTCGCACAATCGCAGTATTCGCATTTGTTATTGACACTGCAGAATTGAAGATAGTGTTCACACGTGTTCTCTGAATCACAATATCCAAAAGGTTTGCTTTTCGAACATTTATTGGAAATACAGTACTCATCTGTTGAGCAATCGCTTTTACGAGAACAATATTCATCACAATATCGACGGCCAACACACTTATTATTGCAGCAGTTCTTGTAGGAGCCCGAACACTCATACGGATATCGACAATCTTGCTCGTCTTTCGAACATTGATAGCTTATGCAGTTTTCGTTGGGTGCACAATGCCTTTTATGAGAACAGTAGCCATCACAGAATTTATGATAAACACATTTACCAACGCAGCAATTCTGGTAGCCATCTGACGTGCCTTTACAATCTAAAACATTTTGACAACTTGTTTCTGCTGCAGACCATTTCACCGCCATTACGATAAAAACGATAACAAAACATTTCATCTCGAGTTGCGATAGCAAGCCTCTGGCTTCCTGTATCCCAAACTCTTCTTATTGTGTTCCTACAACGGTGCTTAAAACGAATCGGTAACGATCTACGATTATTCTGTATTGATTTTGAGTTGAATCAAATAGTAAGTATACTGACTTCTTCAAAATTTATAGATTTACTGGAACACGAGTGGGGACTGGATACGAGATGTTATTAATTCTGACATCTTGACTAATTTTAGTAACGCGATATGACGTCAGATTTGGGTATTTTTTGCTTATTATTGGTTCATTTATGGCGAATTATATCATTGCTTATAAAAGAACAACAGAGAATAAAATACTCCACTGATTGAAATTAATAATGATCATGATAATAATAGCAGAAAGTTTATTTGTCTATAAATGCATACAGTTGTAAATCTCACTATCTATAGACAATTAATAAAACAATAATAGGGAGCTCTAAGCCCTTTAAAGGAATTTATGCACTAATGTAATTACTATATTGAATACTTGATGAGAAATAAAAGCACTCTAAAAATACAGATGAATCAACCATGTTTACACAAAAGTTAAAAGATCTCAAATTATTTATTAAAACTGTTAAAAAGAATTAAAAAAGATTTTGTATTATATATGATGTTGCATGGTCAAGACACAAACTATAAACAACATTGTCACAATATGTAATGCACACCTTGCAGTGATGCCATTGCTTGACCATTGAATTCAGAAAATATCATATCAACATTTACAACACCATCATCACAAAAAARGATGTATGCACACTAATTACTCAGATTTCAGAGGCCTGAGTTCACTCTCCTCTTCATTTTGCTTTTGTTGGTATATGGCTATGGTTCCATTTTATTTGCTCATTAGTTAAGCAGTAATTTGTATCACCAAATAACAGCAAAATAGAGCAATAGTTTTTTTTTTTTTTTTTTTTGGGGGGGGGGGGGGGGGGGGGGGGGTGAGGGGAAAGGGTGCACTTTTTATGTTTACTATGTCTTATGAAAGGTGTATGCTTACATACAATTTTGACTGACTTATCGTTATTATAAATTATATTGAATGTCTTCGGTCAACAAATTATGAAAATGGTCTATTTTCATCAATACACCAATGTTTGTAGCAAATGCTATTGCCAAATTTGACTCTTTCCTTGGATGCATGCAGTCAGAACTACTATTACCCTTGTCTATCTGCAACTTTGAAGTTTGAAGTACTTTTGAAGTTTTCCCAGTTTATCGTTACTTATAACATAGCCAAGTTATATAAGAAATATAACTGTTTTAAGTGCATCGAGTGTTAATTTATAAAGCAAGTCCACAAAAGGAACAAATCATCCCCCTTAAATATCCAACCTCCTCTCCATAGGAGACCATCTCTCTAGACTACTCAKATGTACAGAGGGTGCTCTCACATGTATCCAAGAATATATAATCCTCTACACAGTAATCTCAATTTCCTGAGAATTTCTTAAAGCTTCTTCGTATGTAGGAGGTGGTGGCTCCTCTATCCTATCAAGCCTTTCCAGTGAGTGATAAGGGGGAGGCCCTCCAGGGTGTATAGGTGTCTCAGCATCAGTWACTTCTGGTACCTCATGTAAACTAGCATCCTGCCTAATTGAACCTTGTTGTTGTTGACCATGTCTTGATCGTTCTCTTGTTTCAGGAACTACTGGTACGTCATGTAAACTAGAATCCTGTCTAGCAGGAACTTGACGTTGTTGTTGACGCTGTC